GTTGGGGGGGGGGGGGGGGGGGTCAAAGGTACGCAGTCTGACCCCTATGTCTAAAACATAGAGCGGCTAGTTTAGAATGACCCATAATGAGCATTGAATATTGCATTGACTAACTGTTACTTCACTATAAAAAGGCGTTAATAGTTTAAAGAGTCATTTTGCTTTACTCCACCCCAATGCCAAAAAATAGTGAATCTTTGGCAAATTAAACTCTATAACCAAAAAAGTGTCAGCATTAAGGCTATGTTCTTTTGGGTTGGAATTTCAGAGTTGGATGGTGGGAGAAACTGGAAGGGATTGGAAAAAGTTGGAAGGAGTTGGAAAATGTTGGAAGAATATAAATGTTAAAAAATCACTCAATTAAATGATCACCCAAATAAATATGTAAAAAAACTCTAATTTTGGATATAAAAGAATTAATCATTGTTTATGTTTGAGGTGATATGTTATAAATTTGGATATATAATGTTATTGTATATTAATCATATATAAATACATTTTTTAAGTGGTTGTTAGGAGAAACTCGAAGAAGTTGGAAGAAACCTTGGAGTTGGAAGAAACTGGAAGGAGTTGGAAAAAGTTGGAAGTTAATTTTACAACCCAAAGGAACATAGCCTAATTAGCAAGAATTATTATCATATATGAATCATGAAAGAAAAGAACCAACTTTGTTTTTATATCTACAGTTCACTTGATAGTTTACTTACAAGTTACAACGATGTAAATGTGGCAATAATGCTAGTGTAGCTTGAGGAAGAGCATCTTTCTTAAACTTTAAAGTCGTTCACTTAGAATCTTTCTTTTGGCTATAAAGTTTATTTTTTTTCATCCTTCACTAATACTCTTTATATCGTTAGTGATTAGTCACTCTAGTACAATGTAAAACTAAATTTCTCATTCTATATCATGCTCTGCAGTTCATATATTTCTGTTACCTTAATGCAATACGTATACCTTTTAAATACTATGAGTACATTCCAACTATGATAAATATTCTCAATTCCTAACTATATCCACATCCTCCTAGCCTGTTGCTTCCATCCTCGGTATACCAAGTGAAAACATTTTAGCCAATCAACTTCTTTTTGGAACTTCCGGGGAATTTATGGGGTTTGACAAAAATGAGCCCACGTCACGGAGTGGAGGGAAAGCTGCTGCAGTTCGGCAGATACGGAAGGTTAGTGGTAAATGATAATACATTATTTTCCATTCGTATTCAGTTCCTTTTGGAGCATATTCATATTCATACATGTTGAAATGTCCTTTAGGATCATGGATACAAGTCATTAGTCATGATTGGGGATGGTGCTACAGACCTTGAGGTAAGTAACCACTATATAAAATCTGACCACTCTCATTGAGGGTATGTTTGGATCCTGGAAAATGCCAAGGAAAAAGAATGCCTAAGGAAAACAATTTTGTTTTGGCTTTACCTCGAAAATTCAAACTAAAATGTAGTAGTATCAATGATCTTAAGTTTTTGTTACATATTTATATGATGAAAATAAATAAATAAATAAAGAGTTCGCACGAATATCACAAATTAATTCATTGAGTTCCAACACATATTTTAGTTTCTTCCACGTTTTATTCTATTTTACGCAAATTTTTCAAACAAGTGCCGCTTCGCGTCCCTGAAACTTTCTTGTTTGGGCACTTGGGGACGTCACAACACCCAAATCCCTTGTAAAATATGAAAAACTCGGTGTTTCCCTGCCTCCTCATGAGTACCCGCACCCGTTTTCAAGCAACTTAGGTTTTATTTCCTTCAATTTTTTCCTTTTTTCTCCCTAGCAATTTTTGAGTTCCAAACCGACCTCAAGTGTGAAAGATGGTATATCACTTGTTTTGCTAATCATGCGATGGAACATTACTCTCACCAAAATCTTTGAAACGTGTTTACTGCAGGCTCGTCAGCCAGGAGGGGCAGACTTGTACATCTGCTATGCGGGAGTTCAACTCCGAGAATCCGTTGCAGGAAAAGCAGATTGGCTGGTGTTTGATTTCAAGGAATTGATCAGTTCATTGGAATAGTATGTGGTTTTCTGTTTTCCCTTTGTTCATGTGCTTGATCACCATTTAACAGTGAATGAGTTCGATCCTCTATCCTCTCCTTCCATTCCCGTCATATCTTTTCCTTTCCTTTGCCATTATCTACGCACTCATTTCATCGCGTGTATCTTCCTCATGGTACGTTATGTCAAATTTGTAATTGAAAAAATGTTTCAGAATGAATATTACGTTGTTTCAGAATAAACATGTTTCAGAATGAGCACTATGTGTTTTTCACAATGAATGCTTTACTGAGCAACCTTTAGAATGGACATTACAGTTGAAAATAAAAATTTTGTTAATTTAAAATGAATATTTGTGGGATGTACCTAAAAATAAATATTCATTTTAAACGATGGAGCCAAAATTTCACCATTTTTGGCTTTGGGGTGTGATGGAATAAATCAAAATGGATCTCTAAACTGTCTGCGCTTCTTTAATTAATGAAGTAGCAGTTAGTCAAGCAATGCAACTTTCGACGTTGAGCCGGGGGTCTCTTTGGAAACAGCCTCTCTACTTTCGAGTAGGGGCAAGGTCTGCGTACACACACCCTCCCCAGACCCTACTTTTGTGGGATTTACCTGGGTTGTTGTTGTTGTGTTTGTGGGATGTACCTAATTCTTCGTACATCCAGTTAAATTTACCTTAAAGAAAATGAGTGACGATTTGAAAATTTCAATATCCCATTAATTTTGGAACAGTATACACATAAATTTTGTCATCAAAACTTACTGGGTCATGTTAGAGTGTCACCATATGGGTGCTATCATGAATGCACTCATGCTTCACACGGACAAATACGATGCTAATTGTATGTGCGACACAGACGATTATGATGTGTGTTTGTTTGAGTGAAACATAGGTGCGGTACATCCATAATAGCACCCATGTGGTGGCCTTCTAGCATTATTCAAAATTATTACTCCCAATAATAATACTTCCTTCGTCCCACAAAAAGATTTCCAATTTGAATACTACGTAGTATTTAGTCAAATATTTACCCGATTTGACTACAAATTGTGAGAAAAATATATTGAATTATGAAATAAATTTTATATAATTGGATTCATCTTAGGATCTAGTTTTGATATCTCAATTTTTTTAGCATTTCTTTATTTAGATTATATTTAATTTAAGGTCAAAGTGTGCTATAGTTTGACCAATTTATGGTCAAAATGAGAACTTTTTTGTGTGATGGAGCCATGGAGGTAGTATGACATTAAGGTTTGGTGTCAAAGTACCATGAGATTGAGTGGATGACGTTCTTTTGACACCAAATGTGGGTGTCATGTTATGACGTCTAAAACTTATGGTGTTCCGTTAGTTCCGAACAAAGCCTTTGTAACTCCCCTTTTCACAAATCTTGATGTCCTCTACTTTAATTGCTACGGGCAGTGGGTATACCCGTACCGCCGACCGGCGTTATGTCGGTTTTCACGTCCCGGGGCGTTAAACACCGCCCCCGTCAGCGTTACCCGGGCGTTACTTGGCGTGCGTCAAACGAATGACGCAGCGTCATTCGTCTCCCCCTCCCCCCTACCGGCTCTTTGAGCCGTTGCACCCCCAATTAAAAAAAAATATTATAAATTCAAACCCCCCTTCCTAATATCTCACACCATCTTCATCTTCAATCTCTTCTTATTCCCAATTTTTAAATTTCAAAATTCAAACCCCTCCTCCCAATTTTCAACATGAATCCTTCCGGCTCCGGCTTCTTTCCCGACGATCTCCCGTCGAGCGACGCCACGATGTGGTTCTACGAACAGTGGGGTGATCAACCGCTGATCTACGAGGCGCAACAATCGGGGTACGTCGACCGAGACCCGGTTCCAGAAACTCAACCGGAATCATCCGGGTCGAAAAAAGTACACGCTCGAAAAGCCACAAAGCCAAAAGCACGATGACCGAGGCGGCACGGTCAATCCAAAAGTGGACGCCGGAGGAGGAGTGCATATTGGCGTCGGCTTGGGTTGACGTCTTCGAGCATCCTATCATTGGTAAAAAATTTATTTTTTCTAATATATTTATGTTTTTATTTATATATATTATATTTAATGGTGTCTAAAAAATTGTGTAATACATTTTTAAAGGTTTGGAGCAAACGAAGGATGCGATGTGGGATCGTATCGAGGAGAAGTTCTTCACAGAGATGAACAAGGACGACTCCTACCGAACCCGGGACCAACTCACTTCCAAATGGAGCCACATCAACCGTAAAGTCTGAAAGTTTATCGGAGTTTACGAGGAATGCTCCCGGTTCCGGAGGAGTGGTACGAACGACGCTGATGTTCTCCGGTTTGCCACGACCCGGTATCAAGACGACGGGCACCAAGGTAAGGTGCCCATCGATCTTTGGAGGATTTTGAGTCGTTCCCCGAAGTGGCAACAACTCAACAATCCCGACGGCGGATCGTTCCGGAAAAGATCCACCGTCAATGTCGAGGTTGAGGTCGACGAGACTATCGGTTCTACCGATCAAATCCCTCCCTTCAACGTTGCGGATTCCGATGACGAGGGCCCCATTCCATGGCCGATCGGAAGAAAGAAGGCAAAATCCATTGCCTCTGGTTCGTGAGGGTCCGCCTCTGTTTTCGCTTCTCCCCGCGACGAAATCGGCCGGGCAATGATTGAACAACTTCGGGCGTTCAATCTCCAAGAACAAGAGAGGGTGAAGCTAAAGGAGAAGGAGTTGAAGTGATACGATCGAAGGCGAGCGTACCGTGTGAGGGTAGGCTTCGAGTGCCCCCGGACTCTAGAAAAGAACAAGGAGAGGAAGGAAAAGGGGAGAGGGAATGGCCGCAGTCGCTGCGCGACGTGCGAACAGGAAGGAGGGAAAGGTGAGAAGATTAGGGTTTGGTTATTAACTTCTTTATTTCAATGAAGATAGGGTTTACCTCTATTTATAGTGAGAGATAATCCCACCCCTAAATTACTACGTTTTCTATCCTGACGGTTCAAGAAAAAGCGACGAGGTAAAGAACCGTAAAGAAACACTCGAAAGAGCTTATAATCCGCTCACCTAACAAAAATCTAAGTTACAATAATAAATAAATGTCATAATAATAATCAAACATCATGCCGTATAATCTTGTTGCCAAATCGGGGTTCTCCGAACCCTCGTGCTTCTACGTGCAACCCTAACCGGGCCATCTTGATCGTCACGCCTGGATTCTTCAATGGGCCTTTCACCTGGTGCGGCTTGATCTAGTAGCACCATCGGTTGCTGCGTAACACTCTCCCCCGGATCAAAATCCACATTGTCCTCAAGGTGGAGGTCTGGATATTGGCGCGCGAGCATGTCAATGGGCTCCCAAGTTGCGTCGTTGATGCCTCCATCGGACCATTCGACCAGGGCCTGACGGACGGGTAGTGTCCCCACCAAGGTTGTGCGCAAGGAATGAACCTTCACTGGGTGAGATGAGGGGCGGCCGTCCACTAATTCGGCGGGCAGTGGCAGGGCCTGGACGGCATTGGAGTCACCATGGAACGGGCGGAGTAAGGAGACATGAAACACCGGGTGTATGCGCAAACCAGGTGGAAGTTGCAGACGATAAGCCACTTCACCCACACGTTCCGTAATAAGGAACGGCCCATAGAAGCGTCGAGAGAGTTTGTGATTACCCCGGCGAGCCACAGAATGTTGCTGGTAGGGTTGTAATTTCAAGAGCACCAAGTCACCTACCTTGAACACAACGTCCCAACGGTGAGAATTTGTTGTGGCTTGCATTTTGACCTGCGCCTCGTGGAGGTATTGCTGGAGCCGCTGAAGTAGTGTGGTGCGTTCGGTTAGGAGGGTATCCACGGCGGGAACGGTACAATCACCAGGGGAACAGGGTAGCAATGTGGGTGGCTCCCGGCCATACAGAACTTGGAACGGGGTCATTCGAAGTCCCGAGTGGTAACTCGTGTTCAAAGCAAACTCCGCCCACGGTAAGAGGTTTGGCCATCATGTGGGTTTATCCATGGCATAGGCGCGCAAATACTGTTCCACCCCACGATTTGTAACCTCCGTCTGGCCATCGCTCTGGGATGAAATGCTGTGCTAATATGGAGGGTGGTGCCACTCAAGTGTAGAGCATGTTACCAAAAACGACTCATGAAAATCTTATCGCGATCGGAGACAATGCTCTGGGGAAACCCATGGTGTTTGACAACAATATCCACAAAAAGGGAAGCTACTAGTGGTCCATCAAAATCCGAAGGAAGAGGTCCCAAATGCACATATTTGGACAGGCGATCTACCACGACAAAGAGGACTGTATAACCCCGCGATGGCGGCAGCCCCGTAATGAAGTCCATCGAGGTATCGCCCCAAACAAGTTGGGGAATGGGAAGCGGTTGTAATAATCCGGCTAGGGGCTGTGTGGAATGCTTTGTGGTCTGACAGATGGTGCAAGCTTCAATGTAACGTTGCACATCCCGGCGCATCCCCGGCCAATAGAAGTGCATAGCTAACCAAGCAAAAGTACGCTGGACTCCGGGGTGGCCTGCCAAGGGAGAGTCGTGGTATTCCCGAAGAAGGCTATAACGGAGAGTTGAGTCCTTACCAATACAAACACGCCGGCGATAGAACACTAGGCCGTCTGCGATCGAATAGTCTGCTGGTAGGGACCTGGATTTGGCGGCTTCATGCAAGTGGCGCAGGTCAGCTTTAGAAGTGTTCTCCCGAAGAATATCCGCCACAAGGGTGGGTACTGGCCGAGAAAGCTGAAAAAATGAGGCTGCCAACTCCCCCGCGTCGTCCCTCCGTGAAAGGGCATCTGCGACCCTGTTGCTAGAGCCTTTTTTGTACTCAATTCGAAAGCGGAATCCCATAAGTTTACGAACATAGTACTGTTGGTCGGGGGTCTGGACCACTTGATGTAAGAGTTCCCTCAAACTCTTTTGATCTGTCCGGATAAGAAATTCCCGCCCAAGGAGGTATTGTCTCCATTTTTGCACCGATTCCACAATGGCTAGAAGCTCTTTATGATAGGCGGAAGCGGCTAGGTTGCGGGGGCCCAATTTTTTACTGAAGTATGCGATGGGCTGCTCATGTTGTAGGAGAACAGCGCCTACTCCCGTTACACATGCATCGGTCTCTACCATAAAGAGATCACCAAAGTCGGGTAGCCGTAGGACCGGAGTTGTCGCCATGGCATTTTTAAGGGCCTGGAAAGCCGAAGTGGCCCGGTCTGTCCAGTGAAAACCGTCTTTGCGCAACATATCTGTTAGTGGTGCCGCCAAGTGAGAGTAGTGACGAACAAAGCGTCTATAGTAACCGATTAGGCCCAAGAACCCGTGTAGTTTCCGCACAGACCGTGGCGTTGGCCATTCCATCATGGCCGAGATCTTCGCCGGATCTGCCCGGAGTTCCTCGCTGTAATTATGTGGCCTAGGTAATCAATAGTCGGTTGCCCAAAGGAACATTTAGAGCGTTTGACGTAAAACACGGCCGAACAAAGGGCATCCAATACTGACCGGAGGTGGGCCTCGTGCTCCCCCATGGTGGGACTGTAAATTAAGATGTCGTCGAAGAAAACCAATACAAATCGCCGGAGGTATGGAGCAAATAATTGGTTCATGCAAGATTGAAAGGTCGATGGAGCATTCGTGAGACCGAAAGGCATGACAAGGAACTCGTAGTGACCTTCATGAGTACGAAAAACCATTTTGTAGATATCCTTCTCGGCCATGTGGATTTGGTGATACCCCGAGCGGAGATCCAACTTAGTAAAATAACGGGCCCGTCTAAGTTCATCAAAGCGTTCATCGACCGTTGGAATGGGAAAGTGATCAGGAATAGTAACGGCGTTGATGGCTCAGTAATCCACACAAAACCGAAAAGTGCCGTCTTTTTTTAACCAAAAGGACCGGAGAAGAGAAAGGACTACGACTAAGCCGAATAATATCTTGGTCCAGCATCTCCCTCACTAGGCGCTCAATTTCGGTCTTCTGATAGTGTGGGTATCGGTAGGGGCGGACGTTGAGTGGAAATGAACCCGGTTGCAAGAAAACCCAGTGGTCGGCCAGATGGCGTGGGGGCAGTCCGTTGGGCAGAGCAAAAACATCCTCAAACTCAGCCAGTAACCCTACCAGTGGTGTAGGAACGACCTGATTAGGGTCCCCCGGGGCTGAAGTTTCCTCGGCCTGAGGGGAAACCGGCACCATCTCAAAGTAAGCCGTGATTTTCCGTGACGATTGGATACATTTGAGCATTGAAAATGTGACAGGTTTTGGAGACATATCGCCCCGAAGCTGGACTGGTTTCCCGTCCCTCGTAAACTCGAGGGTAAGCTGCCCATAGTCCTGGGATACCTTACCCAATAATTGCAGCCACTACGCCGAGGACTATATCTTGGCCGTGAATTTGCAAAACAAACAAATCCACCGTAGACATATGAGATTGCATAACAATGGGTACGCCCGGGCATTGGAACATGCTTGGCAGGGCATCTCCGTTCCCGACGTAGACCCGAAATGGCTTAACTGCCCGGAGTGGTAACTGCAAACGGGCTGCAAGTGCGGGGTGGATAAAATTATGGGTACTTCCCCTGTCAATGAGCACGCGAACATCTTAATTCCCTACGCGACCGTCCAATCGGAGGGTGTTGTATTTAGGTGCCCTAGCGGCAATCAAATACCTATGTAACTGTATACTTTATCATGAATGAAAGGCCTTGAAGTATGTTTTATATCTCGTGTAACATAACATAGCTTCAGTCCATAGACGATAGCGCTTCAGTAACATAGATGAGGATTACGATGTTCTGATTATGAGACTGTTACTTCTTGACGAAGGCTATGTCTAGAATATCCCTAGTCGCACTTTATGATAATATGGACGTCATAACGTATCAAGACTAGTACGTACGAGATGAGATAGTTGCGTCTCATAGACTATAGGTATTGTGATATCTTAATTTGTACGTAGGTGCATATTATATTGATAATATGTGACTGGATTGACCCATCTTGAGAATACTGCATGGATCTACAGTAATGTGTTTATCAGTATTCTCAAATCGACCTTGCTATAACTATCCTCAGACTTGAAGTTATTACATTCTCTGATATGTGGGGCTGTATGCTTTGATTCATAACTAATGCTATCTGAAATACTGGTAGACGTACAGTTATGCATTGGGTATGCCGCTAAACATATTTAGAGATGTGAATAACAGATACAGGATCTGTCCCTTCTACTGTATAGAAGTATAATGTCAATGGGCCCACTGAATAGTAGGACTTGGGAAAGTGCATGACCATGCCCAGATATGTCGCTATCTAGAGACTGATAAATATCTGATCCCTGCCAGTCTACTTGAGATTCAGTAACAGCTGATTTAACTATACAAGGATACACATCCCATGCCTTGTGTTAAATCATGACATTTAGGACAGAAGGATAATAGTTATAGAACGTCTTGTGTCGTAGAAGATATTGATGAGATGAACGTCTTTTTCATAATTTGGGGGTAATAATGTATTGCTAGATACCGCTTATTATCTATGGTATTAATTTATATTAATATCATTGCCAGTGTTATGGATAACTAAAGGGTCACACACTTAGGACTTGTAAGAGAGTAGTATACTCCACTAGTGGGAGTAATGTTAAATATATAGTTGTGATAAGTTTATATATATATATATATATATCTGTGTGTGTGTATTTCGAAAAATACATATGTATTTTAAAATTATATTTTGTTTGTGTCATTTTAATTATATGATAATTATATTTTGACAAAACAAATTTTTATTATATATATATATAGCGCCGATATATATATATATATATATATATATATATATATATATATATATATATATATATATATATATATATATATATTACTTTTATTTTCATCATTTTAATGATATGATAATTATTGATGTCAAAATAAAATATAATATATTATAATATAATATGGCCGAAAATAAGTTTCCCTTTTTATGTTCTGAATTTAACTAAAAGATGGATTACTATATAAACTAACTATATTAGTTTATAAACTAATCATTTCTTATAAACAGAACAACACAACCAACCCCTGTAATGTAATTAGGATTAAACAAAACAGGGATTCGATAAAGGATCTTTAAGAAAATAGTTGTTTATTATAAAATGAAAAAAACAATTCCTCCCCTTTTATACTTAATACATTCGGCCATCACAAAGAAGAGAGAAGAAAATTTTATTTTTTGTTCAAAGTTATTTTTCTAAAGTGTTAGAAATATACACAAAATATTATAAACAAATATTTATAAGATAAATATTTTACTATATATATTTATTACTCCCAAAGTAGTATTATTATAGTTTTTACTATCCTATATTAAACTTGCTAGCACAAGTTTAATTTTGGACTCCGGAGCAAGTTTGTGTGGATACGTTGGAGGCTTCATACGTTTGGCGCTACGTTCATCTCTTTAAAACCATCCCCGACCGTTCCTCCGTTCTCCGTTTTCACCGTTAAGGTAAATTTCTTAATATAGCTAGTAATTTACGTAAGTTGTTCTTGGGTGGAATCGAGTTTTGGACTATAAATTTTGTTTTCCGCTGCGTTATCCAAGCCTCGTTTCCCAACAGTGGTATCGACGCCGGCTTACGAAGTTACTAGTTTATTAGTTTTTACCGTTATTGTTTTTGTAGATTAGTCAATAAATTTTAGAGACAAAATTTTATCCCATTAAAATTTAATTAGGTGGCCATATTTAGATACTGGACCTAATATATATTTGTTTAGTAATTTTCAGAATTACTGTTTGGGGTATTTTTATATTATTCTTATTAAATAGTTTATGTGTAGAATACTTGTTATTTGTGTCATAAATACTTAATATTTATGAAAATTATATTTTATATTTTCTGGGAAGTATTTGACATTTAAATATAACTCAGAAATTTTAAAATCGATTTTTGGAATTAACTTACTATTTTTCTATTTTTAAATTCGTTTATTGAATAGAAAATGAAAAATATTATTTTTGACGATAAAAAATTAATTTTAATTCATAATAAGTTGCGACCCGATATTTTAAGCTTTTATAAAAAATGTCATAATTTTTAAACACGTAAAAGTATTTATTTTGTATTTTTGAAGTAATTGGATCGGTACTGTTCACTAGTCCGATTTTTAATTATTTTAAATTGAAAAATTTATATTTTAAATTCTAGAAAAATGATATTCTGGTTCTGGAACTTATTTTTGACTTGGAAAATAAATTTTGATATTTTTGAAATTTCGAAATATATTTTCACAATATAATTTCGGTTTTCTATATTTGAAAAATGGTTTTCAAAATTTTAAATTTTATTTATTCTATAATTTTAGGATATCCAGATTAATAAAGTTTACTGGGAGTCTCCAATAATTATTTGCTAATTTAGAAAACATATATATATATATATATATATATACATACATACATACATACATACATACATACATACATACATACATACATACATACATACATACATACATACATACATACATACATATATATATATATATATATATTATTTTCATCATTTTAATTATATGATAATTATTGATGTCAAAATAAAATATGATATATTATAATATAATATGGCCGAAAATATCAAAGGGAAAAATACAAGACTTAAATTGATTTTCTACCTAATGATATATTTGATTGATATAATCAAATATTTGATTAGTAAAGAATATTTGTCTTGTTGTGTTGGTTGGGGACATTACATTAATCCTAATTTGTTTTGTCCCTAAGCTATTTCCTAGAAATTCTTTTAAGTTGTTTATTATAAAATGAAAAAAACAAT